TTTAAACACCATTTCATTTAGGCAGTTAGTTTCTTTCTTTGTTTCCAAAGTAATTATCGTTGTTTTTATGAAAAAAAAAAGCTTTCGGGCTGAAGCCTCCCCTCCCCCCCCCCTCCGAAAAAAATTAAATCCTGGATCCGCTAGTGTATATATCCAAAAATGGCTTGAAAATTAAATTAGAATATTTTTTATTTTTGTAGTCAGTTAACGTAGTGTTAAGAAGGAATGTAAGATGATAATCAGACGGCAACAACATTTCATTCCGTGCCACGAAACTAAAATAAAGGTTTACGATAAGGATCTGCCTATATTCCTGTAAAATTTCTTCAGGGGCTATCCGATTTTTTTTTTTTTTTCTCTGTGGGAACATGAATGTATACAGGATGAATGAAGGACGAGAAATTCTGACACAGAGCGATTCTGGCAGAGGCACACAATCGATAAACGGGTGGGAGATGAAGCGATATCGCGTGTAACCGAAGAGCTCGCAGGGCCTTGTCAAAGAACCACCATCCTCGTATCTCCGCCACCACTTTTTTCCCCATTTGGCGCCTCTATATTGTCATGAGGGCTTATTCAAAACCCAACCTCTATTGAAATAATTTGAATGGAATGAGGATGAATAGATGGTGGATGAATGGGAAAATATTTTGAAGCTGACCGAGTGAAATATCAGCGAGTTGTCTATAAAAGCACAAGTGTGGGATGGGATGGCTACGTAAGCGTTGATCCCAATGTCGATTAAGAACCGTGTACTTGGATAATAATAGGTCAGAAGATAATAATAACTGTGCGTGCTGTATCTTTAATGTGCGTCTAATTTCCTAGATATTTATTTATTTATTTTTGTGAGCATTGTAAAAACTAAGATGTTAGTGGAAGAAAGTGTCACCAAAGGTCTACTTTTGGAAAAGAGTGGAAGGTTTGCCGTAAGGAGAACACTTTCAGGAAAGTGTTGGCTGGATTTCGATTAAATTGGTTAGGGCTGAAACCTCGAGATAAGGGTAAATACTACGATCAATTAGAAAGTTAAAGATAACATCCAAACTGGGTTCTGATACAGGAGGGAAATATTATAACCTGAACACCCTATAAGCGGTGTTATGAGAATTATTTGTCACTCATCAGTAGTGTTGCCCAAATGCGAGACCGAGACGAGTCTTGGTCTTGCAAAATCAGTCTTGGTCTTGCGCAAGACTCTCGAAACAGTCTTGCAGTTACTTATTAGCTTATTACTATAGAGATATTACTTTATTTTTTTAGATAGGAGAAACCTAACTAAGCCCGAATGAAAAATTAGAGGAGTTAAATGCAAAACTAAATTGGTTATATCAATTATTAACATATAGTAACTAAGATTGTCAAGTATTAGTAACTATTTTCATTTAATTTTTATTTTTAAAATCGATTTTTTATACCAGTCATGGTTTTGGTCTTGCAACAGTTAGGCGGGCTTGGTCAACACTACTCATCAGCATTGGCGGCTTTAAGGATGAAACTCCTCCCAAATAGAAAAACAATAATGTAAAAAAATAGAAATATCCATCTTAGTGTCAGTAAAATCAAAAGGAAAATGAAGATTTTTTTTATAATCAAAGAAATGTGATGGGAACCAACAACCATTCATCCAAGCAGTACAAGAGTCATTAATTAACATGGCCCTAAAAAGGCAAAGACGAGAATAAAGTCATTTTGGCTTAGCCATAGAGAATTAACCGCAGTAATACTCCTATGTTGATGACATAGTCGTATACGGGAATAATGGAAGAAACCTACAATTCAAACTCAGAATTTTACAGGAAGAATTACAATTGTTAAACATCGAGGTTAATAGTAGCAAAACAAACGTAATGACGATAAGAAGAGAGGGAGAATAAGGAGACCGCGTACTTCGACTAAAGGATAAGAAGTTGGAACAAGTCAGAGACTTCAGATGTTTGGGAGTTCACCTCTATATAAAGGCTGGGATATACGGGTAAATCAGAGAGAGAATAAAATTGGCCGGAAATGCTTCTATTCACTCAAGTATGATTTCCTAGGAAAGAAAGAAGTGGCAAAACGTATCAATAGTACTGGTCAAAAACATAGTGTATAAGGCAACATTCATACTCCTACTGAAGTAAGCCTGTGAATCATGGACTCTCACATCAAGACATAGGAGCCATATACAAACAATGGAGATGCAGGTATCTGAGGAGGACAGAAGGAAAGACAAGAACGGATAGGGTCAGAGATATGACAATTAGAAGTAGCTGGGAATCAAAACCGGTCGTACATACGAGTACGTATAATTGAACCGGCAGTATTCGTATAATTGAATCTCTTCAATTCTCATCAGCTACGATGGTTTGATCATGTTAAAAGAATGGTGCGGAATTGTCAAAACTACATACGAAATAAGATTTACGGAAACAACAGGAAGGCTTAAAAAAACTTGGCAAGGAGCTGTCCAGAAGACATTCAGCAGGAGAGCAATGGAGTGAAAGAGGCGCAACCAGCTGGTACAGGTTCGGTACTCTTGGATCAGGCTATATAAGAAAGTACCCCTCACACTGCTCCGCGGTAGAAGAGGGCAAGATTAAGAAGAACAGGATTTTTTAAAAACGTATATAATGTGTTCAGTATTAATACCATTGTCAAAACTAACTGAACCCATGACGAGTAACACTGACAAATTTACGTGAGAGGCGGCAACTCTCCAAATAGAGAAGAAAATTGTTTTTTTATCATTGTTCCATATTTTTTTTCGGTCATATCTATATAATTCAACAATCCCAATATGTTCTCTTTTTATATTATAATCCATATACAATTTGGGGAGCGAAGTAGCTCAATGAATAAGGCACTGATTTCCAAAGCTTAAAAACATGGGTTCGGATCCGGCACATTTTAAAAGAAAATAATTAGCAAATAAAGACAAATTCTAACAATTTAAAAGTAATTGCTTCCTCTTGAGACTACGTCCTTGTGCATTCAGTAATTGTTTTGATATTGATATGTATTTTAACCAGATATATTATTTAAGGAATAAAAATAAAAATAATATTTTAATCAGAATCTCTGAAATGATCCGTAATGAACGATTGATACACTATCAAATAATAAATTTTTAAAATTTACTGTCATAAAAAAATGAAAATGAATTCCTAAGTTTGAAAAGCTGTCAATGTGCTGCCTCAGGGAGGGGTGTCCAGAAGGCCTAAGTGAATTGCATATACTTTTTATTATATTACCGATCTCAGCCAATAATATAGTTACAACACGGTATTATTTGAAAATTATAATGCCGGTATTTCAGGTACTGAATTTAAGAACGTATCAAAAAAAATATATAAAATTGTATATTACTAAAAGCATTATTGTTCCTGTAATTAACATTATTAAAAAAACCCTGCCCTGGTGCATCATTCAAATAACTCCAACTACTGATCTACAAAGTTCACAATTTTCAAACTCCTATGGACGATGCAAAATATTGGGTTGGCAAATAAGTCCTTTCTGTTTTTCAAGGTGAAATAAAACTCAATTTACTATAGACATAAAATTTATTTTGATCTACAATATATTGACCATTATTTAATATTACTTTTTCCCATCTTTCCAATGACTGCATTTTGCCACGTTCATAGATGTCTGCAGTAAATTGTTAAAAAACTGATCCAAGTGGTTTTTGATATCCTCTTCCTTTTAGAATTTCTTTGCATTCGTGGAGTTCTGCAGAGACCGGAATAAGTGGTAGTCGCTTAGAGATAGGTCTGGTGAATAGAGAAGTTGGGGCAAAAGGTACCATCCAAGGCTCAATAATTTATTGCGAGTGAACAATGAGGTGTGGGGCCTAGCGTTGTCTTTGTGGAACACAACACTCTTCCGATCATTCATAACTGTACAGGATGTTCTCCAAATTCGATGTTACTACATCCATTGGAAAGATGAATTATTGCTCTTCAAAGTCTTTATTTGATGCCTACATAAGAAATGAATAAACAAAAGCTCCTCATAGGCTTTTATTTTTTATCTCCATTCGTAGTTTGGTTTAGAAGGTTCTGTTGATGTCATTTTAGTGTAGTTTATGTGGACCTAAATTCCTGCTAAATTTCTTGAAGATAGCTAAAATGGTATTGAAGTTATAACACCCTTTGTGATTTTCGAAAAAAAAAAATCATGTGATGGACCCAAACATTAAGCCTGGAAACATAGTCGAGCTTGTGCAAATGGTTTTTACGCTTGTGTGCGACACATTTAGCCATAGCAATCCCTCACACTGATCGGGTGGGATTTTGATCAACAATGGCCTTAACATAGCTCGTTTCAATTTCATGTGGGCGACCAGACCGCAAATCAATTTTAACAGGTGCGTTCGGTTAAGGCATCTTCTCCATAATCACTGCAAATTTTTCTATGAGCTTCTGCAGCACGAATACCTTTTTTAAAATAATACAACAAAATATACCGATAATGAATGATATTTTCTTCCTTATTCACAGTGCAATAGCAAACACGATACTAAGCTAGTTTCAAGAAGAGTTAACAGATATAGTTGTTGACATATTACAAACAGGATAAACAATCCACCTTGGGGATTAATTCATCAGATAAGAAGTGTATCATAGTGATATAAAAACTGAAAGGACTTATTTGTCAAACCAATATTTCACGAAATAAATCCAGTGATAGATACAAAGCATAGTCACCGACCGACCGATTGAAGATAAATGATAGATACACTACGAATTAGAAGTTATTTTTATAGCTAAGTGGAAAAATTGGTTAATGCTTTACTTCCTTATGCCTTTCATATTATTCTTTTCCTTCATTTCAAGTTATTTCATTCACTCGTTGCTTCTGTACAGTAAGATACTTAATTTAACTCAGTATTTTAGAGTTTCACTTAATTTTAATAAAACTTTGTATTGCAAGACTGTGTTTACCTAACCACAAAAACGTTGTTCGGAATACAAGTAAACTCGTCATTTAACTAGTGAGGTGATATTATTTGTTACCGTGTGGGAAGAGGTGCCTCATTTTGAGATATGATGTGGTGAGCCTGATGATGGACGCCTTGTCCAGCTGAGAGGTGATAGCAGATGGAAGAGGAAGAAGTTTGGCCAACTCAAGGAACTCCGTGTTTTCTTTCTCTCTGCGGCTCCGCGCCGCGTTCTTCGACTTCTCTTTCATCTGAAACATCAAATTTATTGTCATACAGGTGTATAAATATTAATATACTGGGAAAGTGTGTTACAAATTTATTCAATGAGCAGAGGTGCCCATCCTCCCCCCTCCTCCCCCTCCTTCAAGGGTCAATGGTGCTACAACATATTCCTTCCCACGTCCAAGATATTTTATTGCTCACCTTCTCTTAAAAACGGAGAAAGCGAAGGTATAATTATAAAAATCGTAGATCATATTACACTCACTGCGGTATGCTCCATATTTCTCCTTGTTCCTTAGTATGCAACTTTTCATTCCGAAAATTCATAACCCCGTTGGAATTCGCCCCCTAAAAAATTAAAAGTCTACCAAAATATGGCCCCCTCAAAAGTGTTCATGGCGCAACTTGAGCCATAAAACCCCTTTCAGGGTACCCCTATCAAAGGATAAAAAATACTATTTCAAATGGAATCAACTACATCAAATGAACTATTCATAAACACACACATAAGCCATTAGCAAATTCAAGAAGGTACTTTCGGGCTTCAAGAAGACCCACCCAAGACCACACCCAAAATAGCATATTTTTTTTTAGTGGTCCATATTTGTGTTTATGCGTTATCTGAATTAAATACTTAACCTACCACAATATGTTATATTTTTACATTATAACGCAAGAAATTCATCTACCAATCGTTAGCAAGTGTCTAGAAAAATAAATGGGCAATATATGTCGAGAAAAAAATTCTGTTAAGAAAAAAATTTTCCCACAAAAAAAACCGTACCATTACAATCTATGAAGATCCTTACGCTCCGCACTATTTAGGAAAAGTACTGTTGCTGGTCAACAGTTGTTACAAGGTGGTGATTTGACCAAAATCATACTCAACCGCCAGGTGTTCCCCCTTAAATAACTATTTAATTAAGTGTACAAACTTTATAGAGAGTCTCCCAACCCTATGGACGATCCACGACCGATGAAAAATTTATTTGTCATTAAGACCCTCAGCAGCGGAAGCTAAGCGCTCTATCACTGAGCTATCCCATTCCCTTCTGTTTATTAAACTTTAACTTAATTTTTATTTGGTAGTGATCTTTATTTATAAAATAACTGGTAATTCGTTGAATTTTCTACATTATTACATTCATACGAATGGTAAAAGCAAGATATTCCTGCCTAACGAGCAACAAATTTAAAAAAGAACTATGACAGTGATTTTAGTTAGAATTTTTCTTAAGTAATTTATTTTTTTATAAATTACCAAGAATTTTAATCAATGTGTGAAGTATTTGTATAATGTATAATATGTATGATAATGTATTTATGTATAAGTATTTTATGTGACAGTATGTCGAATATACGACTTAAAAAATCTGGTGCAGAGTACGCATCACACAACTTTCACTTACCAACCTTAAAGTAGATAGGTATTTTCATATAATGGCAAGTCAAAGCGAAAACAAAGGCATAACTCCATTTAAAGCAATTAATTACCATGTTTTTCCGCCCATCGATTGTGTGGAAAAATGGATTTTTATCGTAAACAACTATCACGAAACTCATTATGTTAAAAACCGTTTAATTGTACACCAAAATAATGAATTTAATCAAAATCGTTGTAGCCGTTTTCAAGAAAATTGCAAACAATTGTAAAATCGGTGATTTAAAGTGGACCTTCCGATTAGCCGATTAACAAGAAAAAGTTGCTGTAACATCCCAGGCATGTTAAATTGGTATTACCTATCTTAAATAGATAATACCAATTTCGTAAGATTTCGTTTTTGAACTAGACTGATCACTTACAGACCATTTTGCGGGACTTCTGACTGTTAGTCTTGCACTTTGCAAGATCAAGACCAAGGCCACCTAACTATAGCAAGACCAAGACCAGGACTGGTAAAAAAAATAGATTTTAAAAATAAAAATTAAGGTAAAATAGTTACTAACACTTGACAATCTTAGTTACTATATGTTAATAATTGGTATTACAAATATACTTTTGCATTTAACTTCTCTAATTTTTCATTCGGACTTAGTTAGGTTTCTCCTTTCTAAAAATTTACAGTAATATCTCTATATTAATAAGCTAATAAGTAATTGCGAGACTCTTGCGCAAGACCAATACCATGAACAAGATTGAGTTTGCAAGACCAAGACTCGTCTCGATCTCGAATTTGGGCAACACTGCTGCCATGTTATTTGGATTCAGAGGACCTGTTTGAATTTCCGTTGAAAACTAAGATTCGAAAATATTCACAATTGGGATACTTTTCCTTTGTATATATTATATATATAGGCAAGTGAAAGTAAAAATTTAGTACTACAATTCACATTTGCTTTCCTCAACTCTATTTGTGCTATTTAGTTTATATTTTATTATTAATATAGAATGATAGAGATTTAATGTTACGCATAAAAATATACTATTTTTTATTATTCGTTTAAACCCTACCTAACTATCCAAATCGAGAAAGTTTAAACAATGTTCTTGGAGGCGGTACCAACTGACACCTGCAATTTATTGCAATGTCCCCAGGTGTTTCAACCTCCACCGGCAATAAAGTTTTATTTCAACCTAACAGATGGTGTTAGGTTACTTGTTACAAACAAATCGTTTTTATTACACTTCCATTCACTGCTCTTTTTTATTGAAAATAATAGTTAACTTTTACATAAAGGAATGCATTTTAACTATAAATTTTTCAATATTGTGATATATTTAATTAGTAAACTAAACTTCCGATGCTGACAAAAAAACCCTCAAATAAATAATACCAGTTATACTCCCGTAGAATAACTCAGAAAAGTGTTATCTCAATTACTAATTTACTTTTTAGTATAATTATATTGCCCTCGGACAGTGGAAGGACTTTATTAAATGTATATATTAGTATTGTTATACTTCTATATGTGATTTATTAAATAAACGTTTTGAGGTGTTGGAAAAAATAAAATAAATAAAAGTATAATTATAATATTTACAAATTAATAATAATTCTATCAATAAATTATAAATGGAGACATTGAGCCAATGATCCTTAGGAGTAGAGGCTAAGTAAATTAAATTTTTAAAAATTATAAATTTATGAATATTAAGATTTTTTTTTACGTTAGATACGAATTTATATTATTTCCCCACTATGATGACGTCAATAATGATGAATTGTTAATTTACTGGTATATTTTAGAGAACTTCGGTTTAGAGTTTACATAGTTTAGAGTTTTTATATATTTAATATATATGCATATGTAGTTAAGCCTAACGGATCACTTAGTACAAATTATATAACTATTCATTTAATTGTACTACTCGTTGCCCAATTCGTATAACTGTAATTTATATACATTGTGTAATTCAGGTTGTATTATTATTTATAAACATAAAATAAACGGAACAAAATCATAGTTTGGACAAATCTATAATTTCTTTATATATATATATATATATATATATATTTAATTACCCGATTGAATAATTCTTATTGCCAATTTGTACGTATGATAGGGGAGCAATTGTATGGAAAAGTATGGTGTCTTCATTACGGTCCGTCACACTTAGTACAATAAAATATGACACGGTCACTAAAATCTTTTTATTATATATATACACACATATTAGTTTAGAGAATTTTAGTTTATAATTTCAAACATCCTTTAAAATTCAACGTTTTATGTGACAAAATACGTGCTGTACAAATACTTGAACATTCAAACGGTTTCAGATACTGGAACACAATAGTATAAAAGTCCCACCAGAGACTACTTGCAACATGAACCCAAATATTTATTTCCGGCACGAACCCGTACATCCCACTTCGACGACAAAAATGCATCTTCCTCAATAATTTTGATAGTACAGCGCCAACATATATTCATTAATAAATTTCAAAATCCTCAGAAATCTATTCTGGTCATCTTATCTATCGAATGGAAAAAAAAAATTCTGATTCTTTTTATCAAAAACCGAAAACATGATGTAACTACTTTTTCTTATTTTTTTTAAAAGATTTTATATGTATTTTTCAAGGAACGGTTCAAAAACATTAACGTCTTTTTTTCTGAGTATTTTAATAAATTATTTGGAATTGAATACGAACCTACCTTGGGTTTCCTTGTGTTCATTTTCGCAGCCATCCTCATCAGGTGTGTCATAGTGGTAGACAGACTGTCTCCAGGTAAAACTCACGTGGTGCCCCCACTACTGAGGTCAAAAAGTATTTCTTGTACTACCAGACGCGCATGCGTAGTTTTCGGACCTACGTTTATGAATGGAGGGACGTCATATTGGTTCATGGGAACGTGTGAAGTATTGACAGGCTTTAAGTATAAAGTGACAAAAAAGTAAACAACACAATTAAAAAGTAATGCCCTTGTATTGTTGCAATTTTAACAGTTTTTGGTTCAAAAGTAAAGTTTATGGTTTCTGGGTGGTCCGGTTTTGGGTACGAAATGTTTATAGTTGTTTTCGTTTATTTTTTTCCTCCCCCCTTTGTTAGAAGTGCACCTCTTAAGTTTCTGTTTTTGGTTCGTAAGATTATACAGGTTGCTATAAGATTATCTTGACCTTGAGATTTATTGTAGCGAATTTTCATAAATATTATTATTTGAAAAATTACAAAATAAAAACAAGAAAACCTTGGAATTTACATAACTTCCGTTCTATTACTCACGAACGCTATTAATTAATTTATCAACTAGTTATAAAGGAATATTTGTATCCCTTAGATTTTTTTTCATACGTAGGTTCTTAATTTATTACTATCCGAATTCTCGAGATCAAAAAAAGTAATTTAAAAAAAAAACGCCTTTTCGTTGTTGGCCTAGTCATCATTTCCTAAGGAGTTATATATATTTTTTTCGCCAAACTATTATCAAATAATGGCTTACATATTGGTAATCTAATTGTCACTGTGAAGATAAAAAAAAAAACATCCTAATATCAATTCATTTATAACTTTTTTAGAGTACAAAATAAAAGGATTATCAAAGAATATTAATAATAATAAATAGTGATATATATATATATATATATATATTATAAAAAAAGTTTTTAATAAATGTCATATTATATTTTATTTTAGTATTAGGAGAGTAGGACGTTACTGGAGCTCTCCTACTA